GGTGAAGTTTTTTCGGAAAAAGGCTACTTTTTCCGAAAAAACCCTGAGTCTGGACACAGTCTCAGTGTGTTTCCCAACTGATTCTTCTATGGATCAGTGGACCTGGCTCAAAAAAGGTTCCTCGCCCCTGCCATAAATAAAGAAAACATTGAAACCTTTTTTTTTGGATATAAATTAGTATTTTACTTTATTTAAAATGAAGTTTGATAAACTAATCTGAGAAATTTAAAATACTTAATCTGTTTAATAATTTAAATTTAACCATTTAACCACTAGCTGCAGCACTAGCAAAATGTCTTGGGCATAATTATGTAATTAACTGTGAGTTTCCATTAGCGACTAGTGGTCTGTGAGGTTTACATTGAGCCAGGTGCTCCATGGGCCAAAAAGTTGGAGAACTACTGAACTAGACGTATGTTGTGTTTTAAGGGAAGTTGTTGAAGGATGGATTTGGCTTTGATTCTATATTGCTTGCCTTTCATTACTAGAATTAGACCTTAGTATTATTTTCATAGGATTTTTGTTCTTAATGGCATTTTCAGGGGCAAAATTTCAAAACTGGTGATATAAATTGTCTTGACTAAACCTACATTTCCATGTTAAAGAGATATGTATAGGAAACCACTTTCTGCATATAGAAATTGGGTTGTTCTGTCTCATGGACTATCCACTTGTCTATCTCCTACACTCTCTTATTGGTTTTCTGATTCACAGAATAAATACATAATGATATGTTGCTTACAGAAACTATTTTGCATTGAAACTGCAATGTCAGATTATAGTGGACCAGAAAACTGAGATGGTTGGACACTAGAGACACCATTTTTTCTAAAGATTCCACAAGATGGGAAGCTTAGTTACTCATAACAGCATTGTCATTTCTTGATAATGGGTCACATGCTGATAAGTGCTAAGCATCTGAGACACAGTCCTGTGAGGTTCTCTGCTCTCAGCAAAGTCAAAAGGATTGTAGGTGCTCAGTCTTTACGCATCTTGATGCAAAAGACTTTCTTCATGACATTTCCATTAGCCTTAACACAAATTTCAGACAATTTGGCTCCATTCAAATTTACAGCAATGGTGTAAATACTGTCATTTGTTTATATTCAGAACACACGAATTATGTATAATGTGAAAATTTTGAGGGACTTGCTTTGATGGTGAAGGGAAAATCAGATGCACAATGTAACCATTCATCTTTAACCTCTCTTTCTTAAATTGTATTTCCTGGATGCACTCCTTTATAAGGACTGTTGCAATTGTATAAAGTAAACTCTGCATGTTTGATTGTTGTTCTATGACTGTCTCAGAGAAAGAACATGTAATTTATACAGCAATATGTGAAAGCTATTATTGAAAAGCAGAAAAATCTTATTTTACATTCTTGGTTATATTCTTCTCCAGGAGCACATGATGTTAGTTTGGGAATTACAAGTCCATTACTATACAAGAAGAGTATAGTATTAACATATATCATAGACCCGTTAAACATAATGGTCCAGATTCTCCACTTCTTGGAATACACTCGTCACATCGCTCAAGTCAAAGTCACATCACTCAAGTCAAAGTAAATGACAAAATCCAATTGACTTTAATGGGTGTGGGAGCAGGATTTCATTCCTTAACTTCCAAGGACATTTTGAATGAACCCTCAGTGCAGGATGGACCCTGAGTAGCACAGTTTAGCATCATAAACTGTCCTTATCCCTAATTAATGACTTTTTTCAGATATTTTCTGTATTAGAATATTATCCATTGGAGTATTTTGTAGCAAAAAGTATATTCAGTCTGCATTATACAGTTTCTAATACAAAACTGTGTAATTAATCATAATTTTAGATTATAATATTTTATTTTCAGGTGATCACTGTACAAGAAGCAGTCAAGTATTTTCTTTTTTGAAATTGTACACACATTCATTTTTCTAAAATAAATGCAAATCTAGCCATGATAAATTTTCACACAAAAACCTGTAATTAAGTTTTGCTTTTGGCTTGATGTGCAATGCACAGAAAGTTTGAGGCTGAATGCAATTAAACACAATAATCCGACAAGGGAAATCTTTATCAGTGATCAATATTTATCCAAATATTTCAGACTTCTGTTCAGCTCATTGCTTTTGTTTTAGCTTTTACATGTGTGCTGGTGAGGCTACAAATTACTGAACTCATTTTCTGTAGTTTCATTTAAAAGCAGGTCAGATTGGATATCAGTTTCCCAAAACCCATAATGCGATCAGCAGCTGCAATTTTCAGGCACATGAAGATTATAAATGAGAGTTTATTCCCTTCCAAATTCTTTGTGTGTTTTTCTCTCTTGCTCTCTCTTGGGCAAAATGACAAAAGACCATTTTGGGCTCCGCAACTTAAGATTTTAAGAGATGCTTTTGCTTTCTCTTGTATCAGGAAATTTGTGCATAATGATATGTGTTTGCAAATATTATTATTTATTTAAAATGTACAATCAAGACAAAGTGTGAATGTTTTTTTGATGACTCTTCAAATTAAGGAGAAAAATAATGTGCATGATGTTTCCTTGTATTACAAGAGGTTTTTAAATGTTCTATGGAATAAAAAACAGAAGTTTGCAGTGGAAAAGTAGTTGATTACATAGCTTGTATATTTTTTATTTATTTAGTACATACTATAATTGACTAGCATGCTTTAAAATTAATGATTCTCGGCTGTTCTATGACAATCCCATAAGCCATAATGGTAATAGTATATAACTGGGGTGGGGAGCCTTTTTTGGGTCAGCTGCCACTGACTCTCAGAAAAATCAGTCAGGGGCTGCACACAAGCGAGAAGCAACATCAGAATCTTGGAGAACCCAGGCTACTAGATTTTGTGGGATTTTTTTAGGAGGAGATGTGTTAGGGGGTTGGGAATCCTACCTCATGAAAACTGTGGCTGAACTCTAGTCTCTCCTATTCATTCAGGTACATCTGCACCTGTGTCCAGGCTCACAACTGGGGAGGTGCGGGGAGACAAAGGGGGCAGTTGCCTTGGGGCCCAATGATTTAAAGGGGCCTGGAGTTCCAGGCTGCAGCTATTGCTACAGCAGCAATAGCCAGAGCTCCAGACCCTTTAAATTGCATGCTATGAGCTCTGTGCAGCTCTGAGGGTGGGGAGTGGAGACTGGGAGTCCCACCCTTCCAGAAGTACAGGCTGCCCACGCAGGCTGTCAGCACCCCTGCATGTGTCCCTGAACCCCTTGGATCTCATGCGTCCATGCAGCCCAAACATCCCCATGTGTCCTTGCATTTCCAATCCCATTCAGAGCTGGGCTCAATATTGTCACCCAACTAGCTCTTGTGCATCTGCCTCAGTCTGTCCCTTCCCACCACTAACACTATATCCTGTGCCTCCTCAGCTGGCCTTACAAGCAGGGAGCTATGAGGAACACAGCCATTCCATCTCTATGGCAGGCTGCTCTGACTGTAAGCCAGTTGCCTTATCTTATGGTTACTCAGCATCCCCTGGTGGGCACAAGATGTAACTACAGCACTCCCTCATCAAAA